GATGATCGAGAAAGCCTAAAATTCCATCATATGAGACTTTGTTATAAGGTTCTCCTATAGGTCTCGAAGGAGAACACAACAGCGGGTGTATGGACGAAACTCGAAGGTTTGTACATGACATAATAGTTGGTTAATCATCTCTACCTGAAGCAAAATTTATATTCATTTAAGGTGAGTGAAGACAGAGTATTGGTTGAGCAACTGGGTATGTTCAACAAGTTAATTCTTGATCTTGAAAATATCGAGGTCAAGATTGATGATGAAGATCAAGCATTACTGTTGTTGTGTGTTTTACGTATCATGCTCACTTCAAAGAAACTCTCTTATATGGTATATATTCATTGACCTTTGAAGAAGTTCAATCAGCTTTGTACTCTAAGAATTTGAACAAACGGAAGGAGCATAAGCCATCTTCTATTTGTGAGGTTTGTCTATTAAGGGGGATTTTTTTAAGAAAGATGTTAGGTTTAAGAATAAGAAGGGTAAAGTTATATAGAATTCCTATGGTGGGAATACTTCTGCAATTAGGTGTTATCATTGTAAAAAAGAAGGTCATACAAGAAAAGTATGTCCTGATCAACTAAATAATCATGGTTGAAAGGATAATGGTATTACATCCATTGTGCAAGATTGTTATAAATCATCTGATGTCCTAGTGGTTTCAAGAAGAGACTCTAGCAAGGAGTGGATTATAGTTTCAAGTTGTACTTGGAACATGACTCCAAACAAAGACGTGTTTGAGGAATTATCTGATCAAGATGGTGGATCAGTACTATTGGAAAATAACAAAGCTTGCAAGATTGCGGGTATTGGATCCGTAAGACTCAAGCTCCATGATGAGTCAATAAGGTTATTGAATGATATGAGGTATGTACCTGATCTTAAGAGGAATTTGATTTCTCTTGGTGAATTCGACAAGAAAGGATATGCTTCAAAGAAGAGCAGAGTATCTTAAGGGTAATGAAGGGGTCAAAGAGTCTTAAGAGGCGTGAAGAAATAAGGCTTGTATACCCTTGAGGGTGTGGTTGTATGTGGTTCCACGGATGTGGCATCCAAAATACCTGTGTCGAAGACTGAGTTATGGCACAAGATATTTGGCCATGTCAGTGAAAGAGGCCTGGCCAAATTGTTGAAAAAAATATGCTTTGTGGTGACAAGGTCGAAGAACTGGAGTTTTGTGAACCTTGTGTATTTGGTAAATCATATATGGTGAAGTTTAACAAAGGTAAATAAAGAACACATGCATCTCTTGATTACATTCATGTTGATCTTTGGAGGCTTGCAATGAATCCTTCACACTCAGGTGCAAAGTATTTTTTATCCATAGTTGATGATTATTCCACGAAGTTATGGGTATTCATCAAGAATACTAAGGATGAAACTTTTCAAAATTTCAAAAGTTGGAAAACTCTGGTCGAAAACCAAACTGGCAGGTCAAGAGGTTGAGGTCCGACAATGGTCTTGAATTTTGCAATGAAGCTTTCGACAGCTATTATGGTGTGTCTAGTATTGCAAGGCACATAACTATTGCACGTACTCTCCAACAAAATGGTTTGGCTAAAAGGTTTAATCGAACCATTATGAAAAGAGTGGGGTGCTTGTTGGTAATTGCAGGAATTGAAGAAGGTGTTTTGGGCATAAGCTATTGTGATTGCAACATACCTGATAAATAGGTGTACTTCGTCTGCCTTGGGAATCAAGACACCTGAAGAAGTCTGGTCAAGACATCCACTTAATCTCGACAAACTTAGAGTTTTGGTTGTTTAGCCTATGCTCACATTAGGCAAGACAAGATCGAACCTAGAGCTCTGAGATGTATTTTTCTTGGATACCCTGAAGGAGTCAAAGCTTATAGGTTGTGGCGCCTAGAGCTAGGTCGCTAGAGGTGTATTACAAGTAGAGATGTAGTTTTCAATGAAGCTGAGATGGATTTCAAGAAAACGGATGACGTTGGTCGAAGTACCAAGATCTCTAAAGAGAAGCCGAAATAGGAAAAGAGTCATGTTGAGATGGAGCATAGTGATGTTAAACTTCATAATCTAGATAAAGTCGGAAAAGAAGCATAAGTTTCTGATAAAGATGAGGAGACTGATAATAACTATCTGTTGGCAAGAGATAGGTCAAGAAGAGTCATCAAGTCACCACAGAGACTTGATTATGGAGATCTCATAGCTTTTGCCTTAATTTCTGCAAGTGAGGTACTTGATGAAGAACCTAAAGAATACAAATAAGCTATGAGGAGTCGAAATAAGACTGAATGACTGAAAACCATGGATAATGAGATAAAATATCTTCATGATTATAACACTTGGGAGCTGATCGAGAAACCTGCTAGAGCCAAGTTAGTCAGCTGTAAGTGGTTTTTCAAGGTGAAAGAAGGAATCAAATGAGTGATGTTGAAGCAATTTAAGGCTAGGTTATTTGCCAGGGGGTTCATTAATAAATAAGGTGTCGGCTTCAATGATGTGTTCTCACATGTTGTAAAGCATAGATTCATTAGAATGTTGCTTGTTATTGTGGCAAAGTTCAACCTAAAACTTGAACAGATTGATGTGAAGACAACTTTCCTGTATGGTGATCTAGATGAAACAATCCCGATGATGCAACATGAAGGGTATGTAGAAAAGGGAAAGAAAGGTTATGTGTGCAAGGTGAATAGCTATTTGTATGACCTTAAACAATCTCCTCGACAATGGAATAGGAGATTCGACAAGTTCATCTCACACATAGGTTTCACTAGGAGCTGGTTCGGCCATTATGTTTACTTCAGATTTTTACCTGAAAATTCATTTGTTATTTTGTTGTTTTATGTGTATGACATCCTCATAAAAAGCAACAGTGTCAGAGATGTTATGAAGGTGAAGGTTGAACTCAATAACGAGTTCGACGTGAAGAATTTGGGAGTTGCCTCTAGAATTTTTGGGATTGAAATCCAGAGAGATAAAAAGCAAACAAGAATATGCTTATCTCACGAGACATACCTGAAGAAGATTATCCATAAATTTGGTATGTCGAATTCAAAGCATGTTCTAACACCGACTAATCTTTAGTACAAGCTAAGTATGACTTAAATTCCTAGTACTAAAGTCAAAAGAATCTATATAAATAGCATTCCATATGCTAGTATAATAGATTCTTTGATGTATGTTGTGGTATGTACGAGGCTAAACATAATGTACAGAGTGAGCCTTGTAAGCAGGTATAAGGTCAATCCTAGGAAGGCGCACTGACAAGCATTAAAGTGGATACTAAGGTACATCATTGGGTCTCCGAGCAGAGTCCTAATTTATGGTGGAGCGTTTGGTGATGATAGCAAACTCGAAATCGAAGAATTTGTCAACTCTGATTATATAGGTTGTATTGATTCCAAAAAATATATTTATGGATATGTGTTCACTATGTTTGCCACATCAATCAGTTCGAAAGCAACTCTTCAGAAGGTTGCTGCCTTATCAACCTGTGAAGCAGAATATATTGCTCTCACTGAAGTTATGAAAGAAGCATTGTGGCTTGAAGGTTTTGCTAAGGAGTTGAAAGTTCAAGGTCAAGTTATCACTGTTTAATGTGATAGTCAATGTGCAATACATATGTCGAAGAATTCGGCCTATCATTAGCGAACCAAGAACATTGATGTGAGGTTGCACTACGTCAGAGAGATAATCGAGCGTGGAGAAACCCAAGTGCTGAAGGTTTCGATTGATGACAATGTTGTTGATATGATCACTAAGACATTGCCAAGTAGTAATTTTTTTCATTGTATGCAGTTGATAAAGTTGCATGATGAAAGTTAGTTTGTTCCCTTGTTAGTTTAGAGTTTGTTCCAAGATGCAGATTTGTGGTATTTTAGATTGAAATCTAGTCTCGACGGGGATAGCCTTGTTGTTTGACAAAAGTTTATCTTGTAGTCGAAGTCTGTTCACATGTTGATCATGTATGCTGTAGTCGAAGTATGCTCAAGCATGCACTAGTCAAAATGTTAGGATTATTAGCATGTTGAATTGGATCTTACTTGTAAGTCCAATTGTTAAATTAGCTTGTAGTCTAAGTTAACTTAGTAGTCTATAAATAGCGTAGTTCTCTCAGGTTGTTGAGAGAGGTTAATTGTTTTTATTCACTTGTAATCTTGAACTCTTATTGGATAAGTAAATAGTAAAGCAATTTTAACCAATTCTGATTCTCTTCTTCTCCCTTCTTCTCTTTCTTTCGTAAAATCTAATAGATTATTTTGTGTTTGTTCAAAAACCTCAATGTTTCTCAAATTTTAATTTATTTTTGACGAGATCATTTCACATCATATAAATTATTAACAATATTTAGTAAGTATGTTAATAATCTAAATTTTGAACAAGTGTGATTTTTTCTCAAAGCTTATTCTGGATGACAAGTCCCTTTTTCATTTGTTAATGTTTCCAATCCTTGCTGTAAACCACGTTAGATGTGCATTTCCATTAGTATCCAGACATAGTGGTGAAGCACCATATAACAGCTGACTTTTGTAGGCAGTAAATTTGAAGAGATCAATTAATCACTTATACTATTTTTATATTTATAACTTGTTTTTCTCTATCATTTAACTTCTTAAATTAAACTTGTCAAAAATATTTATATTTGATGAGAGTTGGCAAGATTACGTGGGAAATTAGATTATGAATGAACGGAGTGGCATGCATTTCGCAAACACCAGATCAAACATAACAAGACTCTTTCAATATACCCGCTTTTTCTGTTGATATATTTGCATTTTCTTGTTCCTTTTCAATCCCCTTTCTATCTAAATTCTTGTTTGTCAAAGGTACCTATCCTATCTCTTCTCTGAACATTCTCTATTCATTTCATTCTTCATTGTTTTATAAGTTTTTCTAACATGCATCATGTTGTTGTTCTTGTTGTTGATAATGGTTGAAAGGTATATATAATTAATAGGCGCACATGAATCCTTGATATGTATGCTAGTGCTTGATTCTTGATCATTCGGGTTATCTTGCAATATTCATTCAATCATGTGTGACCTCATGTCTGCGCCCGTTGACCGGCCTATTAAACTCGGTGAGTTTTATTCAATTCTTCCTGGATTTTTGTATTATTAATCATTGGAATGAGGATGATGAGTTTAAGGAGTTTCTTGATAGGTTATGAAATGGAGTCTTCTGAGGATGAAAAGAAGAAAAGGGTTGGGTCTATTAAGAAAGTGGCATTGAGTGCCTCAAGTAAGTTCAAGAATTCCTTCACCAAGAAGGGAAGGAAGCATAGCAGGGTTATGTCTATTTCTATTGAAGATAATTTTGATGCAGAAGAGTTAACCATTGTTGACGCTTTTCGGCAAGCACTCATCTTGGAAGAGCTCTTGCCCTCAAAGCATGATGATCCTCATATGATGCTAAGGTAATAATTATCACATGTGATTAGCATATGTCTATTTGGTTTTGCATTGGTGACTCCTAGAATATCTGTAACACCGACTCCTCTGAACAAAGGCAGGTCTGGTATCTGATACATGTCAGTGTCTGACATCAACACATGTGATTACGTTCATTTTTCAAATTAGTATTAGTTTTGACGTGTCTATATCCATGTCGTGTCTGGTATCTGTTAGGTTTCATAGCCTAGAATCACGTTTGAATTAGTCAAACGTGATTTGATTGTAAATTGCTATGTTTAGATTCCAATCTCAAAATCATTTCTAGCTTCTTCTGTGACAAAATCAATGTTTATGATTATAGCATGATTAGCTTTATTTCAATGCTCTAATGAATCTATAATTTTAATGTATCATGGTCTATAGATTTTTAAGGGCAAGAAAATATGATATAGAGAAAACAAAACAAATGTGGTCAGATATGCTTAAGTGGAAAAAGGAGTTTGGTGCTGACACTATCATGGAGGTATAGTCAAGTGAAAAACAAATCATGAACTTTTACATAACTTTTTCCATTTATGTATCTCACCATAATCTGTTTATTCTGTTATAAGGATTTTGAATTCAAGGAACTTGATGAAGTTCTAAAATACTATCCACAAGGGCATCATGGAGTTGATAAAGATGGAAGACCTGTTTACATTGAAAGGTTAGGCCAGGTTGATTGCAACAAGCTGTTGCAAGTAACATCGGTTGAACGTTATCTCAAGTACCATGTCCGAGAGTTTGAGAGGGCTTTTGCTATTAAGTTGCCTGCATGTTCAATTGCAGCAAAGAAGCACATTGATCAAAGCACAACTATCTTGGATGTGCAAGGAGTGGTGAGTATAAAATTCTACTTCTTAAAACTATTTTGTTCATATTGAAATAAGTTTCACATAATAGCATGTTTGGTACTCAGGGTCTTAGAAGTATGAACAAAGCTGCAAGGGATCTCCTCCAGAGGCTTCAGAAGATTGATGGTGACAACTATCCTGAGGTAACTGATTTTCATCTATTCTACCATCAGGGTCATTTAAGTTTTTGAAGGCCCTGTGTAGGTTAGTCACGGTTAATCGTGGCAAATTTGAGACTCTGTGCTGTAGTTCATCTTGTACACCTTCAAAGACAATCCTATGTATCATAAGCATGGTAATAGTTTAAATGGACTTGTAAATTTACCCAAATTGAATTTTTTTTCCATCCAGTCGTTGAATCGTATGTTCATCATCAATGCTGGTTCTGGATTTAGGCTATTGTGGAACACTATTAAGTCATTCCTTGATCCCAAAACCACCTCAAAAATCCATGTAAGCACTTTCAGGCCACTTACAAATTTGTACCAATGGTTTATTTTTAGTTAACTTGTTATGCAAGGAACTGAGCATGTTAATGAATTTATTCACCAGGTGCTAGGTAACAAGTACCAGAGCAAGTTGCTAGAAATCATTGATGCCAGTGAACTTCCAGAGTTCTTGGGAGGTACTTGTACTTGTGCAGATAAAGGTGGATGCATGCTATCGGACAAGGGTCCATGGAATGATCCAGAGATCTTGAAGGTAATTTTGCTGCAAAAATGATGTGTTTCCCTTGTGACATGGTTAATATTAACATTAATATAGCAAAGAAAAACAATAGTGATTATTTTCTTTGAATGAATTAGCTGGCTCAAAATGGTGTTGCAAAATGCACAACAAAAGCTTTATCCGGAATCAAAGAGAAAACAATCAAACAAGAGGAGACTACATATCAGAAGGGATTCAAAGAATCATATCCAGAGACTCATGATGTTCATTGTTTATCCATGGATACACCAAAATCCTATGCTGTAAGTTTTAGGAAATTACCTTCCTAGTTTGCTTATCTTAAACTTGAGACTGTATGGCAGTAGATTCGCAAGAATCACGGTATGTCTCCGCGATTTTAGTAAAAGCTACACAGTGCAGCTATTTGTCAAACTCACCTACAATCACTACATTTTTTTCATATTGCGTGTTGCAGGTTGCAAAGAAATGTGGTGTTTATCAATATGATTCCTTTGTTCCAGCACTTGGCAAAGAAGTGGATTCATCGTGGAAGAAAACAGTACAAACTGATCAATATCCAATTTCTAAAGGTATTATATTATTTCAAGTCTTGTTTGGATAAACAGTACATAAACTCAAATAAGTCAATTCAAACATGAGCTTCATAGATTATTGTTTCTTATGGTGGCAGATTGTTTCTCCAACAATAATGAAAATAATTCTGGTAAACTTAGCAGTCAATTTGTTGGTGGAATAATGGCCCTTATTATGGGAATTGTAACCATGTTTCGCATGACAAGTAACATGCCAAGGAAAGTCACAGAAGCAGCACTTTATGGTGGCAGCTCAGTGTATTATAATGGCAATATGCTGAAAGCACCTGCCATTTCTAGCAACGACTATATGGACATAATGAAACGCATGGCTGAACTTGAAGAAAAGGTTGCTGTTCTCAGTGCTAGACCTGTCATGCCTCCTGAAAAAGAAGAAATGCTTAATACTGCTCTAACCAGGGTCACTAGTCTTGAACAAGTCTTGGATGCAACCAAAAAGGTATACTCGTGATAACAACTCTTTACTCTCGTTTTACAGATTCATATTCATCGAATAACTGGTGTATCTGGCTTTACAGGCACTAGATGATGCCCTTGCTAGACAAGATGGTCTTCAATCTCAAATTGACAAGAAGAAAAAGAAGAAGAAGAAGTTGGTACGTTATATGTGTTGTGCATTTCCATAAGATTCTTCTTCTATAGAGTCTCCTCAAGTGCTTGCTTTTTTGTTCACAAACTTTATTGGGTTTGTGTGTGATTACAGTTATGCTTCCACTAATAACATCGTTTGTGACCTTCCAAAACAAATATTGGAGACTATCTATATTATCAGCCCCCTTGAATGCATGCAGAGTTCACCCATCTTCATACAGTATTATTATTCTTCTAAGTTTGCTATATTTTGACAATTGTGTATATGTTTACATCATTGAGTCTCAAGCCCATTCATAGTAACATTTGATTTTCATTATCATTGTAATTGTAACACCTTTTGCCTATGTGCAATCTTTGAACTTAATTAAAAGGAGGATTTCTCCAATTATATTATACATTCACAGTATTTTCTTGCCTATCTTTTTTAAAATATAAACATTGATTTTATTTAATATTGAACAGTTCAAATATATCCTACAGTGTCTTCAATAAATTATTTATTCTGACACATCTGGCTTTGGCAGTCATAATTTTGAAAAGAGCAATTCAAGACGCTGCTAACACATCTATGTCATAGCCTAGTGTCCAACATATTCCTTTTTGACCAAACACTGCAAATAGATCCTATTAAAGATATTGGTTTTTGACAGTGACACTACCTACCAAACTCTGTTTGTTTTTAGGTGCCTCGAAAGCTCTGCTGGATTAGAAACAATTGAAAAATCATACTAGTACCTTCGTATCAAAGTTTTACTTCTGCAGAAAGCAGATATACAAAAACCAGAGAACATTATAAGCAGGAAAACAAACAAGTTACAAGGGTAAACACAAAGATGGCTACAAACAAAAACTGAAAGAACTTGTGTTTAACAAACTAGCAAATATGCTATTATGGATATACACACATGTGAAGTAATTATCTGTCTAGTTTACTCATAGTATACACTGAAAAACAGTGGATAGAATTACATCATTGGTACGACATTCCGTAAGTATTAGTACAGCCGCGATTTGAGAAATATCTTCCTCACAGGAGTATATTTGTGGAGTATTTTTCTATGAACCATATACCTCACCAGCAAAACTTCTTTTTCTGAAACACAACAAAATAAGCAAACAGACATCAGAAATCTGAAAATTGTCCCTTTTATTCTTTGAAGATTTTAACTTTGCTAAGATACGGATGCCAACTTACCCGTAACTTGGCTTCCTCTTGGCGGTCAATGTAAGCAAGCAGCTCTTCTTGCCTCATTAACGCTTCATAGAGAGCCTATTCATAATCCAGAAACATCAAACATTAGGCCTAACTTAGGCAAGACAATTTTTAAAAACACAAAAATCCGGTTCCAAGCAAAATGTAATTTATGAAAGCAACATGCAATCAAACACAAGCTGGGCATGTTTTTTGTTAAATTTAAAAATAATAAGAATAAGAAAAAAGAGAGGAGCAAAGGATGTATCTCAATGCTTTCGTTTCCCATGACTGCACTTTCTTGGTGTTAAACAAAAATACCCATCCTACCTTTTTAGTAGCAATTAGCTCTGCTTCCAAAGCATCTACCCGGCATACAGCAGCATTCAACAATTCCTCCTTCTCATATGGCATTTCAGATGGCTTAGATTGGAGTGTGTCAACCTTCTCTTCAAGCTCACCTAACCTTTTTAGCAATGAGGGAAGGAGAATTTCCTCTGTATTTTCTTGGGTTGATGGAGAAAGAACTTCCATGTTTCTTGTCTCGCGAGTTGGTTCTGAAGTTCTCTGATCTTCATTAGATGATATTCCAGGAAGTTTGTTGGTCATGCGGCAAGCAAATTGACGGAAAAGAGCAAATACCATCAAGAAAAAGGCAGTCAGTGCTACCCAAATCCGAGCTGTAACTCCTTCTGGAGTATTCTGTAAGGCAGGAAGAGGACGTGTTCCTGTATTGGAAATCCTTTTTAATCTTTGCTGGACAAAATCATATTAAATAACTCACATCAAGAAACTAAGCAATGCCTACAATCACCAACTCTCCTAAAATCTAGAACTCTTGAATATAAGTCGAGGAATGATTTAAATCTCAAACACACTCTCATCAAAAGCCTTTTTGAAATTTAAGTGCAGTATAAATAATCTTTGCAACCATGAATGCTAAACCTAAGTTATAGTGGCATAGTCCAGAAACAATCATGATAAACCTATTTGTGCAATTAGGTGAAAGTTCAGTGAATAAGAAAAATAAATAGATACATCAAATAGGTGCATCAATAAATGCCAAGTCACCAACCTTTTAAGGTGTGAGTCCTCTGTAGAGATACTTGCCTCTTCCATTCAGCATCAACAGGTTTGTCTACCATTGGAACGTATTCATCATACCCGGACAAGTTATTAGCAAAGCTTGTCTTTCCTACCACCTTAGCCTGACAAAAACACAATGTGAACAAGAATTATTACTGAAACAGAAACAACACCACAATATCCTGTCAGATTAGTTATACTTATATATTTGAAGTAAATAGAAATTTGTATAACAGAACAAGACTCACTTCCTCACGAACAGGGGTCAGTCTAAGGTGTGAATAGCTCTTCCTTGCTTTTGGAGAAGCTATATCTTCAGCTTCTGACCCTGATTCAGCAGTAGATGTATCGCTGCCTTTTACCTGTTAGGTGGGAGGAGCATAAGTAAGAGTCATATATGATAAACAGACCTTTGAGAAAAATGTGTGGAGCACTAAACTGGCTCCACTTGATCAAGGTAACAATCGGCCAAGCAAAGAGTTACCATTGGGTATCGAGGCTTTGCATATGCAATAACCTTCCCATCACTGTTGAGAACCTTTACTACTTGCCTTGCCCGCCGTGGTTCACCATTGAGAACCATCTACAAAATGTGAAAACATAATCAACTGTCAGACTGGTATAGTATATCTGCAAAAATCTATCAAAAAAATATCAACCAAGAATAGAATATGACCTTCAATATTTCAGGATTTTTCCATGGCCCTTTATCAGATCTAAGGCAGCCTCCCTCATCTGCACATGAGCAGGTACCTCCTAGAAATTCTGGCAACTCACTTTATAAATTTCACAATGTGTTAGGCTTATTAAAGAATGCATTTGTCAATAGAAAATAAAAACATTATGAATCCATTATGTACCTGGCATCAATTACTTCTAGTAGTTTGCTTTGATATTTGTTTCCAAGAACCTAAGTAATTTCCAGCAAAGCATTAAGCAATGTCAGCAATTTATACTATATAATTAAACAGAGTTTTCAATAGCTAGAAGTCGGTATTCAACATACATGGATCTTTGAAGTTGTTTTGGGATCAAGAAAAGATTTGACAGTGCTCCACAACAATCTAAATCCAGGGCCGGCATTTATTATGAACATTTGGCAGAGTGTCTGTATCAGCACAATACAACCGGTAATCACTATAAGCAAGGTATATCACCTTTAGAATTTCCAATAACTGAGTAACATTAAAAAATAATGGCAAAAGCAATATAAAGGATACGAGATATCACACCTCAGGGTAATTGTCACCGTCGACCTTCTGCAATCGCATGACAAGATCCCGGGCTGACTTCGTAAAATTCTTAAGGCCCTGATAATTGAGTCATAAAATAAAAATGATTTGAATGATTTAGAATTTTAGTTTACAGCTAATGTGACGAGAAATAATTATTGGCAACATACCACTCCTTGAACATCTAAGATTGTAGTGCTTGAATCTATGTGCCTTTTGGCAGCAATAGTGCAAGCAGGAAATTTTATTGCAAAAGATTTCTCAAACTCTTGCACATGGTACTTTACATATCTATCCATAGTTGTAACTTGCATAAGCTTGTTCGGATCAACTTTTCCAAGCCTTTCGATATATACAGGCCTTCCCTCCCTATCTACACCATGATGGCCATGTGGGTAATATTTCACAACTTCATTTAACTCTTTGAACTCAAAATCCTGATCCAGAAAACAAAGTATTAGGCAAATCGAGGGCTTTGGGAGGAAAAGTTTTAGAGGGCTAAGTCTCCATTTTGACATATAATTAAGATGATAACATAGTAAAGGCTTAATATCCTTTTTTTTTGTCCATGTGTTAATCTTTGGGTTTATTTTAGTCCTTTAACTTAAAAAGTTCCATATTGTAAATCTAACTATACATTTTGAAGAGTTAAGGACCAAAATGAATCTTTTTAAGTTAAGGGACGAAAACATGAAATTAAACCCATAACAAATGATCATGTAACATTTCAAGCACATTAAATCAGTGTTCGGAAAAGAAATTAAGCTCACCCTCCTCTCCAAATCATCCATCTAAATGTACCCTAAAAGTATATATACTTTATTCCTTGTAACTAAACCTTCAGAAACAGAAGAGAAATGAAACAAAAGCCCCAAATTGAAAGTGCATTATACCTGCATAATGGTGTCAGCACCAAACTCTTTCCTCCATTGTAGCATGTCAGCCCACATATGCTTGGCTTTTTCAATATCAAATTTCCTTGCTTTCAAAAATCTATAAAATTCAACAAAATAAAAAAATACACAATTACAAGATCACAAGTCCAAATAGTACCATACAAAACTCAATGAGTTACCTTAACATCATATGATAATCATCAAAAGCATCAGGAAGCAACTCATCCATGATCAACGACTGCCGAAAACCATCCACAGCTTGAAGCTCCTCGACATCCCGAATATCCTCAATCGAAACGGAGCTAACACGACCATCACTCTTTCTCCTCCCACTCTTCTTCCTAAGAGAATGCTTAAACTTAGTGGAAGCATTAATGGCTTTCTTTTTCAGAGATCCAATTCTGGTCCTCCTTTCATCTTCAGAGTTCTCAAAATCAGATCTCCGTTCTCTCTTCTCATCACTGCCGGAAAACCCCTCAAAACCTAACAAATTGCACAATTCAAATCATGAATAACAACAAGAATTGAAGAGAATCGAGAATCGAGAATTTCAAATCGATTGAAGGTGTGCACTTACAAGGCTTTGCGAAACGATCTAGGGGTCCGGACATTGTGGAGATCTGGAAGGAAGAAATGCATAAACGGTTGAGAAACCCTAGAAAATTGAAACGAAGGTTGATGGAGAATCTTTTGTTGCAGAAAGTAAGAATAAGGGGAGAGAGATTTTTTAATTAAATTATAAAGTGAAGAATGAGTAATAAATAATAATAATGCGTGTTTAATAGACAGCTAAAGACAGAGGAAGAGAGAGTAATAATTAATAATTAATTATAATGTGTTGTTGTTGTTGATTGACGGAGGTGAAAAGGTAAAGGAAGAAGAGAGGTGGGACCCAGTGTGTTGGGGGGTAGATTTGGTAGATAGTAATGATAAGAGTTCGTCACAGAGAGTGTTCGAATTCTCAAAATGAAATGATGAGTATTTGAGTGTTGTTGTTAGTAATTCTTCATTCCCTTGGCGTGGCGTGGCATGGGGAGGGACATTTTGTCAAACATTACAGCACTAAAGTTACTATACGGAAACATATCCGACGTAATAATAGGGATATGTATTACTTTTAATATTGATCCTAGTATCAATTATGTTGACATGCAAAAACATTATAATCAAATTAAATTAAAAGGATGTGAGATGTTTAGATAGAGTGATCAATTATTAAGATTTATTAATTAAATGGGCAACAGTCATTGATCCAGAGTTCAAAACACCTGAAAAACCGTATGTTTTATTTTAGGAAAAATCAATGAAAAAATTAATTATCAACATTTAACTAAAATAATACAAATTTTAAAAAAAAAATCTACATTTAACTCTTAATATTTGCCTTTCATGTTAGCATTATAATGGTAATATGCTATTAGAACATGTTAAGAAACTTAAAAATAAAAAATTTGTGTTAGAAAATCAATAAAAAATTAATTATTAATATTTAATTAAATGTTTTACTAATGGATATCAGTAAGGTGCTAGTACTCTTTTGGATGGTGGGCACTCTAGAGAGTAAGTGTGTTTTTATGCAGATGGTTAACTAACTAGTAGTGCCTAAAAATCCTAGGTGTTTTACTGTGGAATCAAAGTAGCACAATGGAAAGTGATGGATGAAAGAGCTCAGTCTACTTCATGGAGGAATAGAAGAATATTTATTCGTAAGAATGGAAGTGCGACAATCTCGTGTTGAGTGTATTATCTTATTGGCCTAGTGCGAGAGAAGTGAAGCAGTAGATGTAGAAGCTTGCAGTATATAGTATCAGATCAAGTGAATTGATAAGGATGTCAATTGATGGATATAACGTTGTCTTAATTGTTGAAGGATTTATAAGAGAAGGATCATCAGTATTGCGTGTAGTCAAGGAATCAGTAAATTATCTCGTGAAGATTTGATGAGTGTTGATTATCCAAATCAAGATAAGATGTCGTGGTTATGCTTTGTGTGACTCGGTATAAGAATATGGAGTTGTAGATTCTGGAAGGGAAGTGACTGAGTGTTTAGAACGGCATGTCAGATGAATTAAGTGGGAATCAGGTTAGAAGTTTATCAAATATTGGAATAAGAATATGGTTTAGATCATAAAGCTTCGAGAATTCTTGATAGATGGGAAATTGTCATTGAAGACAAGTTGAATGAGTGAATATGTTAGCGGATTGAATCGATTGTTCGAAGGCCGTTCGCTCTTCACCCAGTCGGGTCCAAGCCGTTTGAATAGGGGCAGTTGTTGCACCCCAAAATTTGCTCAACATTTTCTTACCTGGTTTATGTTTCATTTTCATTAACATTTGCATAGTTCTAACATTTGCATATCATAGCATATTATTATTTAGCAGGGGATCAAGTGTGATTCATGTCAAAAGAAGCCTAACCAGAGGTCTTATTCAAGTTCGAGAAGTCACCAAGGTCATCAGAAGTTGGTTTGAGGTTTCAAGAAGTTTAAATGCTCATGTGGATTTTTCTCCTATCTTGAGGACCATTGAAGACCATCAGTGGGATGTGAAGCTTGGATTGTGAATAAAGGATGTGTATAGATCTCATGGAGTGCCTAGAAGGCCATATTGAAGCTTAATCAGGTCATTGTGCCAATTGCAAGAGTTACAGATGAAGTGGATGCAACTAGGGTTCCATCCGGGTAATCCTAAGACAAGTTGAGCAAATCGAAGAGGGTCAAAGCCCATTTCTAAGTCATTGAGATCTTTAGATGATATGTCAAAGCATTTGAGACATTGTTTCAAGTCTAATCAAGAAGAATCAAGAGTGGTTGGAGTTGCTAAGTCAGGGTTCCTAGGGTAAAATCCCATGTTTAATGCAAAACTTCCAGGCCATGTAAATCAAGAGATAAGTCTCAAATGACTTTGACCTCCACATGAATGTTGTGGAGGATGTTCATAGATTTAATTTGAGTACTAGAAGTCATCCATCTGATTTATAGAACTCAAGTTACAAGCCAGACAAGTTACAGGTCCTCGGATGCATCTGAAATTTGTCTGCGAAAATCATCTGACTTCCAAGCTATTTTTGACCTAGAAGGAGGTTTCACCTGAACTTTTGACCAACATGAAAGTTGTTCCTCATGATCTTAGCTTTCTAAATTGTACTATAAGTCTTCCATCTGATTTGTAGAACTCAAGATATGAGGTTTATAAGTCAGGGGTATTTTGGGAAGGTGAGATTATAGGTCATTTTCAATCGTAGGTCAAAATCTCCAACTTACACTCTTCAAATGGAGATTTGTTCAACATGAAAGTTGCTTAAAATGGAATTTTAAGTGCAACCAAGTGGTCATGTGGAATTGGTTTGGCTCATAGCAAAAAGTCACTTAAAATGGCCTAAAAAAGGGAATTTTTCAAATGGATTAAGGAGGGAAAATTGACTTTTTGAGTTAGAGGACCAAAACATTTCATATGAATACATTTTTTGAATGGAAATCACATTCTAAGCACATTGGCATTGGCAGAATTTTGAGCATAGGCCAAGTTTTGGGAGTTGTCATTTAGATTACTTCACCATGAAGTTACATAATCAAAAACAACCATTGGATCAAATACAAGGATCAAATCCCAGCCCTTCACACTCCACCTACTGTTATTAGTTGAATTGAATCATCTTGGAGCCAAAACATTGCCATTTTCGTGTACCTTCAAGAGCAAAAAGTGGTGAAATTTTGAAAATTCATTTTGGGCCTAGAGGTAAGGATTGGGCTTTCTTTGGATCCATATCCATTGTATATAACATTTCTAACCTTCACAAATCATCATAATTCGAATTTGGAGGCAAAAAGCTCAAGAACAAAGTTGAAAAAGTGTTGAAAATTTAAATTTCGAATTCTCCGATTTACTCCGTTTCAAGTTGAATTGAAGATTGTAGAAGCTTTATTGTGGATCATTGAACGTGTTTGGATTATTTTCTTCAAGCTTTAGTAAGGATTGAAGGCTCGGTGGAAGTTCTCCACTAGGTAACTTTAATTTAACCTTACACTCTCAATACTTGATGATTCTTCGCCATTTTTGTTGCATTACGATCCTTGAAGCATGCAGATCGATTATGGATCATAATTGTTTGCGTTTGTGACGATCGATTTTTGGAGCTCCAAACTTGTTGTTTCGGTTTGATCATTTCTTGAGGTGTTTTGCTTGAATTTTCATGGATCTATAACCTACATAACATGAGAATGATGTTAGGATAAAATTAATTGAGTTTTGATGAACTTTTGTTTTTGTGCACCAAACTTGTTGTTCGTTTTTCTCTTTAATGGTGAAGAATCAATGAAAAATAACGGTAGATTTGGATTCCTTGTCGCGAGTAGATAAATTTTCATATAAAATTTGTAAAAAACGGATGAAAATTGCATTTAGTGTGTGTTATTCATGAACACATGGTGGTTGGACAAAGGAAGAAGACAACCAGAGGGGTTCCGGCGGGGGAGGGGGAGGCCGCGCGGCCGTTGGATTTGGCTGGAGAAGGAGACCAAGTCTCCTGATCCAAGGGCGCGTAGAGCGCCACGTGTGCAGAACGCCAAACGGCGTCGTTTTAGTCAAAAGGGGGAGGGGATGCACGCGGGTTCAACTCCCGCTGAGTGCATTTGCCACTTTGCCATTTGCTGTTTTGTATTTAGTTTTGTTTATTTATTTGTTTCATTGTTTTATTTGGTTTGCTGATTTTAGAATTTCGTATGGGCCTAGCTGCTATCCGCCGCCCCCCCCCCCCCCCCCCCCCCCCCCTTAAGCCCAGTCCATTTGTTTGCACTTGTTTTGTTTGCTAGTTGCACCATTTAATTAGTATTTTCGTTTTTAAATTCTGCTTTGCATGCTGTTACAAATTAATTCGAATAAAATAGTTCCAATATCATAAAAATTCCTAAAAAATATTTTTCATAAACCTTGAGATGTCTAGTTCATTCTGAATATTTTTATTTTATTTTTTTAGTTTATTTTCTATTTTTAAATGAATTAAATACTGGAGCTGTTTTATTTGATTTAATTTGTAGTTCTGTTCTTTCTTGATTTTATTTCCATGCTTATTTTCTTATTTTTGCGTGATCCTTTTTTGAGCATTGTGTTAACATGTTAATTAATATTTGGATATTTTTTTCATAATTTTTAAGTGCTGTTTCCATGTGATTTGAAGTGCTTTTTGTTCTCTCTCCATTTCTGCCTTGGTTTAGGACACTCTTGGTGTTTGCCCTTTGTTGTGGCCTTTCCCTTTTGATTTTCAATCCCTCCTTTTGACCCCTGTTTCCTAGTACCTTGGGGGTCCTTTGAGATTTTAATTGGCATTTTTAGATGCATTTTCATATTTTTCATGTATTTTGCAAGTCGCTTCATGTGTGTGCTTCTCTACTTGTGCACTTGGTTTGTTTTGCTTCCAAAAGCTTGGTTGTGCATTATTGATGAATTTAATTCTGATTGTTTCATGTTAGGGGCTTGTTATAGGTCTTGTGTGTTGATTCATAGGTCTTTAACTTGTGCGTAAGTTGTTCATTTGATTTCATACTTTCATGTTTGCATATTGTGTCCATATAATTGGTGTTTACTTGCATTGTTTGGTGTTATTGTTGGCATT